CACTGATTGGTTTAAGAAGAGACGTGGCAATTCTGTGTCCCCTGGGAGTGGAGGGATTCAGCCACAAGTGCTGTGCGAGCCCCTAACTAGACTGACCGCCAGATCACTGACAGATGCCATTAAGGGGCTTTGATGAAAGTCAGTGCACTTAATAAAAGGAATTACAGAGAGTTCTGCATATGTCATTTCTCATTATGACAACATCCTGGCTTCTGACCTTGAGGACAACAGTGTCTTCATAGGGAGGTCTGCGACCACCTAAAATGACTTGATGACATCAGCATCCATTCTATAAGCAATGGAGGGGGACTTAAGGGCAGCCATTTTGTTTGTATAGTGTGTAGAAGAGACCACTGATATTGGGTATTATTCTAAGTCACCACTCTTTATGTAGATCCGCCAGGATGAATTCTGCAAGGTTTCCATGGTTTTTGTGATATGGTCATTATTTGATTAATAAGCACAACTATCAAAGGAAACTGATACATTTATAACAGCTGCTGAGAGGATTCCTGGGCTCAATGGGCTCCAAGCCGATGTGAGGGAAGGCCAAAAATCTTTTTTTTCTACTTTCTAGTTACACATCTTTACTTTTCTCAAAATCAACTGGTAGCACTTTACTCAGGGGCACAAATAATGTAGTAATACATGCTTACTTAATGCATTAATTAACCAGAAACAGTATTAGTTACGTACTGATCCCATGTTCGTTCATAATTACTCAATCAATCAACAGTTCATGTATTTCATGCAGTTGCTATATTTATTCATGATTTGCACTTGAGTAGTAAATGAGTTACTAAGCTTACTTGTGCCCCCTCTGAACTCTTAGGGTATGTTCACAGTAGGGAAGCCAAAAAACACAATGAAAAGTGCAACGCGTTGTACTGCATTTTTTGTCCACGTTCTTGCGCAATAATAGTTTTTAATGTTGTTTTGTATTAGTCATTTCTATGCACATGATTCTCCCTAGTGCTCGTGGGGGAAAAGAGGGTGTTAAAAAAATGCATACGAACACTTCGGATTGTGTTTGTATCCAGTTTTCATTGTCATCATCGGCAGTGCGCAGCGCAGAGAAATACGTGCAGTGGTGCGTTTTCAAAATTCACTGCAACGCAGCGCACTAGTTGGAACATCATACATTGCTTTCTATGTGATGTACGATGTTCTAGCGAATCGCAGAATAGTGCGTGTTGATGGAAAGCGCAACGCAACACGTATAGTGGGAAAAAGCCCTTAGCAATCAACCAATAGTGTGATGACGTGGGGATTCTGCTCACAACGTAAATCCTGCAGGTCCTGGAATTAGCTCAAAGCCTCCCATGACCCTGCTTTGTGATTGTATCTTTGGCAAAATGCACATGTTTATGCTGAAGAGTTCTCCCACCTCATGAGACTTAATCACAACACTGGTGCCAGCTCATTACTGTACTATATGCGGATCTGTGGGTGATGAAACCGTCAGTCCAAATAATGGGTCCATTTAGCATCTTTTGCTTTATATGTGTGAGCAGAGGAGGCATTTAGAACTGCGCAGTCACAGACATCATGCTCAGCAATGATATATATACAGTATATATATCAAAGGACCTTGGTATCTATCCGAGTGCAGCCAAGGTGACCTTTGATACATAGACAAGAAGAGCAAACCACAGATACATGATGCTGAACAGCATTTCAACATACTTCATTTTCCCCTCCCTGGAAATATGCTAACAGATTATTTCCCGCTTGAGTTTCTACGCTTAGAAAATGACTGTGATAATGCGCAAACATTTCCCGTCTTGCTGAATTGTGTACTGCAGAGTTGCTGGGTTTTATTTGAAGTGAACAATCTGAGAACAGAAGTGTAGGTGTCTGACAGAGACGGGGGGTTATAGAGGGACACCGGCGAGTCATGTGACTCACAGTCGCGCCTTCATATCAAATCAAATTCACGAATCGGTGCGGCAGCCGTCTATGAAAGCAATAGTCTGCAGCATTTCGGACACAGTGGAGAGAAGCGTTTCCTGTCTGTAAAGAATAAAGGCGTCAAGAGCACCCATGGAACAAGAAAGACTTCATGTTGGTTGCTGCTGAGGAGGAAATGCTCTTAAAAATACTTTGGGTTGACTAGGTCTCCTGAGTGTACTAAAAACCAAGCATTTGTGATCAGATATTTTCAGTGTAGGGTGAAAAGCTTTTAAAGGAATCTCTCGCACCATATTTGTTCCACAAGCAAACAAAGCATTCAGTGTATTGGTTGTGGTATCATTAAATGTAATTATTACTTTAAATTATCTGAATAAAAGTAAGTCTGTGTCTCTGACTAGAACAACACGCTGGATAATTTGAAATCTTTCAGGCCTCCAGATTAACACTGCATGTCTAACTTTTCAGTAGTAGGTGGTAAGGGTGATGCATTGAGGCTTCAGAGGACTCACAGAGCCACGAGAGAGGGAGAGAAACACAGGGGATAAAAGAGGTAAATATATCTTTAGGAAAATGCATGGATTGGGGGGGGGGAGACGGATCAAAATCTAAATTATAATTTACCAGCAATCTCAGTTGCAGTTCTATAACTGAATTAGATCCATCACACCAAGGTGACAGAGAAGAAAGACTATAAGTGTCTACATGTGATCAATACTTTTCCCAAAGCCTGTATCTGAATACAGAGAATTACGTTAAAAGACTGTGGACACAGAAAACTGCACTTATCAATCCTCAGATGTACTTCCCCATACTCTGTGTTAAAAAGTGATTTGTGGAGACTGTAAAATCCAAGAAGAGGGAATCATCCTCTACGACAGCTTCACAGCACCCTTTAGTTAATACGCAGCCACATTAACAGCCAAAACGCTGTTTCATCAGATAAAAAGGGACCACCAAGGAAATTATTTAAAAGGCAGAAAATGCATGTGTAGTTCGCAGACTACTGATGAAAACTAGAGGAACCTTAGCTTTGAATAACCCACAGTGATGTCCCTGGGATCAGTGATTTTACTTCTACTTCCAAACCCACATCAAAGACATGAGGGCAAAGTAAACATTAACAGGGGTCAGAAACAAATAAGTTTAAGTTGTGTAGGTCCTACATAGCACGGTATGTTTTTTTTTATATATATCTTTGGCATGATAAGTCCGATCTGCGAAAACCACAACCAAAATAAAAACGAATGCACATCATCGGTGAACATTATTTCGCTACGTATAGCGATAAAAACACTGCGTAGAACTTAAACGGAGACCCGCAAAGTGAAAAACATTAACCAGACTTTCTTCTCTTTATGTAATAGGGCTTTAGGTATGCACTCCACGATTTCACCATCAGGAACTGCGTTTCCGGGGATATGCCGTTTATTCCGGCATCTGAAAGGCATTTGGACGGAGAGACCATTTCTTTTCTTTGGGGATATGCGTAGAACAAGATTAATAAGTTGGCATAAAGACAAGACGCTTCATAAATTGGTGGAAAATCCAAAGTTTGGAGCCAAGCCTAATACAGCATAAAGTATGTGGATTATGAGAATTTCCCCAATAGACTAGATAAACAGTTTTTTTGCTCTATAACGAGAAAACAAACAAGTGTTTATTCCACGATATTAACACCAAGGCATTATGTAAGTTCATAGTAATATGCTACAGCAGTAATATCGTAATGAAAATTTCCGACATGAAACTGTATAATTACATTTATATTATTAACGGTAGTGTTGCAATAAGCATTAATAAAGCTATGCTGCCACCCACTGGCAGCTATTAGAATTACTTAGATTCTCACCGCCATTGCATTTCATTATGGTATCATTGTCCAATTCTGTCTCCTCCTGGGCTGTTTTCAGCACTTGTGTGTCACTAAGTGAGGCAAACAAAAAAATTTACCCGAGATAAATATCGGGTGATGTAATGCTTCATTAGCTGTTACAAATGTATACATTACCCCAGATGATCGGTCAGAACAGTGTTCCTGCCGTATCACATTTTTGGCTTTCATTAAGCAAGTGTAAAACTAATAATTTGATTACTTAATATGAATAGCTGAATTGTTTTCACTAATTATAAATAAAATAATAATTGCTGTTGTTGGCAGCATGGTGGTGCAGTGGTGCCTCACACCTCTGGGACCCGGGTTCGAGTCGCTGCTTGGGTTACGTGTGTGTGCAGTTTGCATATAGGCTCCAGACCCCCCGTGACCCAGAAGGATAAGTGGTTTGGAAAAAGGATGGATAACTATTAATGAAATGAGAAATTTCATAATCCATGACAGCAGAAAAACCATTGCATGCTTATGCTGACTTCTCTCACAAAATGACACTCTTAGTTTAACGAACAGGGACTCTCTCACAGGTGGTCATTTCACTACACAACCACAAATCAAACTAAACCAAATTCACTATGAAAAAAATTCCTTAACCTACAGCAGCCCACCAATTTAATAAATTCCAAAATTACTAATTCAGCTTGTTTTTTGCACAGAGATGCATCTATAATTAAATATAATCATTTCATCAAGCAGTGAAGTTCCAGGAGAAGTTCATCTGAGTTGCCTCAACACAAACCGGGGATCTGTTTTTAATCCCCACGGTTCACTTACTCACACTCACTTACTCTTGGGGTGTCCATCGTGGCAAAGTGAACAAAAGGGAAAAGAATATCAAGGATCTTCTAAGCCACGCAGGGACAAGACTGGAGACGTCCACTGCAATCGCAGTGTACGTGCAAAGGTCACCAAGCAGACAAGTATCTTTCTGTCAAAACCAGGGGACATGGGCCAAAATACAGCTACAGCTGATTATTGATATAGAAGTTGATTAAATATAGCAATAATGGGCAGAAAGGAACATAATGGCATGACGGTGAGACAAACCCTAACAAGAGTGAATATAAAATGTGAGACAAGGATTTTTAAAAGCCCAAAAAGGTAAGAGACCATCCTGTCCCCACCCTAGAGAGACCATCCTGTCCCCACCCTAGAGAGACCATCCTGTTCCCACCATAGAGAGACCACCACACAGGAGTTTTGTTTAAAACAGCTGCTTTTATTAGGTGCTTTGATTTCAGTGGTACAAAAAAAAAAAAATTACCTATCCAATTTTACTACATAGTTTCAGTCTTCTACTCCGTACATTCCGAGACTGGATGGGTAAAATGGTTCACTTGAGGCTGAACAAAAGTTACATGTGAGACCACAGTGAGTATGGCTCAGAAAAATGGATACCGCTGCTATATTTGAAGTGCGAGTATTACATTACAGGGCACCTTTGAAAGAGGCCTTGCACTTAACTACACTTGCTGTATAACTGGATGCACTGAAGTGGCCTTGCGGTTTGGAGAATGTATTCATATTTTTATATATAAAAACCCACATACCCTGCTCAATCAAATCAATTAAAAAAAAAAAAAAAAAAAAAAAAATCACAACCGGAACAGTACTCACATCACCTTAAAAGCATCTGAATATAAAAGTTTTGGGGAAACAATAACGATCAAGCTCTTCTTCATTAAACACAATCACAATGACCAAGTTTAAAACGCAGAGAGGCACATTGCTGTATTTTTTTTTCCTCCTCCCATCCAGTAACACAAAGTAAAAAGTTCGAGAAGCGTTTTCTGGAGTTGATCTGGAGATCAGAGCTGGTACTAAAACAGGTTACCAAGGGAAGGTTACTGAGAAGGGAAAAATAATAATAAAAAAAAAAAAAAGACACCAAGAAACGTCAAAGTCCCACAGATCAAGCCGCCAAACGCAGCTTAAGGCCGAATTGCTCTGTAAAACGGCATTGGCTTCTCCTTCCAGGATGACAGAGGTGAAATTCCCCCCAATTTGGGCTTGGGGGGGCTGATTTACCTGCGCTTGTCCTTTCGGTCCGACTTGTGATCCCTCTCGCCACGTGAGGCCCGTCGCCCCGAGCGGCTGCCCTCCGAGACGCAGCGCTTCTGCTCAGGCTTCCTGTCGGATCCCTTGTCTTTGGGCCTCTTGGCGTCGCGGCCGCTGCCCTTGGGTGAGCGGCGGCCCCGGTCGCCTCCGGCCCGTTTCCGGTCGCGCTCTCGCTCCGAGGGGCGCCTCTTGCGCTTGCTGTCTCCGTCGCGGCTGCGGCTCCGGCTGCTACTGCTGCTGAAGCTGCTGGAGCTGCCACTGGACGAGCTGCTGGAGCCGGAGGAGCCGCTGGAGCCAGAAGAGCCGCTGGAGGACGAGCTGCTGCTGCTGCTGCTGCTGCTGCTACTGCGGCTTCTCCTGCGGCCCCTGGCCTTGGCCCTGCCCCCCGGTCGGGAGTCTGGGTCCTTGGGGACCTCCACCACCTCTGATCGGCTGCTTGGCTCCACCTGGGTCCCCTCTGTCTGCCCAGGGCTTTTGGGCTCAACAACTGGCTGGGTGCTACGGTCTTCAGGGACCACTTCCAGCAGAACCTCAGGCTGCTCTGGCTCCATCGTCTCTGGGGCCTGTGGATTTTCAGCAGGAGGGGCCTCCAGGCCATTCTCCTGGCTTTCTTCCTGATGCTCCATGCTTCCTACCTTCCCAACCTCATCACCCACTTCCATCTCCACCTGCTCTGGGCTCACCACCTTCAAGCTTTGCTCCACCTCTGCCTGCCCATCCCCTGGCTGACCCCTGTCCACCTCTACAGAGTCTGCGGTACCTTGTACCTGCTCCTCTGCCTCCCTGACCTCCTCTGCACCCATAGCATCTTCCTCCTCCATCTCTTCTTCCTCCTCCTCCTCCTCTTCCTCCTCATTCCCCTTAGCCTCTGCTTGCTGTGCTTGGCCCTCACCATGAATGTGACCCACCTCTCCCTCGGTCTCCTTTGCATCTGCCGCCCCCTGGTGAGGCGCTTCCACCTCCATCTCTGCTTCCTCCTCTTCCTCATCCACCTCCTCCTCTTCCTCCGCCCTTACAGGCTTACCCTCCTCCTCCTTCTTCTGCTGCTGCTGACCCTCATTCCTGGCCTCTGCTTGCTCCTTCTCCCTCATAGCCTGTCGCCGGGGTCTTACCGCCATCTTATTCAAATGCTCTGCAAACTCCTCTTGGCGCTCCTTGAATATGGCTGTGGGCACATCAACCACACCAGGAACAATTTTACTGAGCAGTACTTGAGCTTACAGCATCCAGAATGAAACATTTAAGGAGAGCTTCACAGTGACAAAAGTCGTCTTGTTAGTCACTGGGAGGACTGCGAACAAAACGTGACACAGCCTTTTATTTATATTTTATTTAAACAATGCTTTTAATTCGCTATTAAATCTGGCCTGCAGATTGAGCGTTCGTTTTCCACAAAAGAAAAAAAACACAATGTAACATTTCACTAATAAGCACTAGCAAATTTCACTGCTAATAGATAAAAGAAAATTTGTTATTGATTGAATTTTCCAATGCAGAAATATAGAGATGCAAACAAAAAGGTATTCATTAATGCATTACATGTAACAGAAGTATAAAAATAATAGTCTGCTCCATCTACTTTTTGCTCACTACGTCCAACTCTTTTCCCCAAACTTCCAAGTAATGTCCAAGTCAGCAGCTGTGTTTGTGATCAACCAATCAGCAAGTGTATCACTATGAGCCCTACCACAGTAGATTGCGGTTGAATGAAAAGAACCTACTCTTGAGCAGGGACTAAAATGGTCGGTATACATCCTAGTTCACAATTTTATATTTAATGGTTTTTCACCAGAAGTAACAGGATGATGGTGTGAATTGCTGGCCTGCACTGGGACCTTTTCCCTTCCTTTAACAAGGCTGTCACCTTTTCCCAATACTCCCAAAATATTGTGAATATTGTGTAGTTTCCGCAAATATGTACCCCCCACCCATCGTTTTTTGTTTGATAAATCAGATTAATGTGTAAAGTTGCTTACGCACATTTCTAGTGTCTTTTTGTGCATATGCACTTTGATACATGAGCCCAAAAAGTCCCAAAAGAAAAAAAATTAAAATCCAGGTTCTGGAAAAAAGTTCCTGCAGTGGGAATGGCACCTAATATTTAAATTCAGCTGTTAAACTAAAGGTTCGACTCCTTCCGTTTTCTCACGATATTCAGTTTCCTTAATTTGTCTCAATTAGCAATTTATTCTATACCTCCAATATACCTTCAGATATACAGCCTCCTGCATACAGTAGCACCCTTAAACCCTTAAGCACACATCCATGCTTGGCCCTCTGGGAACAGAGTTTGATTTATAAATCTAGAAGACTTAATTATTCAGATTACTTTTTTTAAATACAATTGGTTTAATACAATTGGTAACTCATTAAAAATACACTCTCTTTCAGAACAGAGGAAAATAACACCTGAAAAAGCAGTCTGCATATTAGCTGGAATTGGTAACTGGTTCCAGTGTGCAGCCGATACTCACCATTCATTTTCTTCTGCGACTCCTCCAAGAGCTTAGTGGTGGCTGGGCACATCTTACCGGGAATGTAAAAGATCGCTGGCTTCGTTTTCGTACGGATGTACTTTACGATTTTAACATTGTGCTCATTCCATTCCTCTTGCTGCAAAAAAAATATTAAAAAAATCTAAGATAGAGAAACTGTCTTGTGTAAATTTTACACATCGTAGTTAATGTGGTGTTATACTACACTAGTGAAAGAAACCCTATTACAAGCTGCCATGTGCCTCTCAAGTGCTGTGTTTTGTAAAGTAATTCACGAATCTGTACTTAACAGTCTGAGTAGGGGACACCCAGAGTAAGTCACTAAAAACGCTGACTGCGTTTTACGCACACACTGAGTTACAGGCTGTGTGGCAGAGCGTAATTACCAGCTGGGCCAGCTCCACTTTGTGCTCCAAGAGCCTGAGCTCCGACTGCTTGGTACGTCTATCTTCAAAGAGCTCCCGCCTCTCGCTCTCCGCCTTCTTCCGCTCTTGTTCGGCCTGCACCTCCAGCTTCTTCTCTATCTCCAAGCGCTTCTTCTCCTGCGATGACCAGATGGAAGGGGTTCAGATCAAGGCAGAAGCTGGCACGCAATGAAGATCAAGCAAGAAGGATGAGGATAGCGATTAAGGAACAAATTTTAGGGCCCAGGGTGTCACTCACCCGCTCTGTGGCCACTGTGGACTCTTGCTTGAATTTCTGAAGTGTTCCCATCAACAGACCAAACATACGCCGATTTCTGTAATAAGAGAATATGGCTTTTATTAGCCCAAAACATGTGCCCAGGGTACAAAGACAGCCTACGGCGATCAGTCCCCAGAACTACTGGAAGTGGCATCCGTTACATTAAGATTCGGTATTGATGGTGTCAAATGAGGGTCAACACCAAAAAAACGGCAATGAATAGAGTACTAGATAAAGAGAAAAATTTGAAGAGCTTCATTTAAAAGGTCCTAAATATCTTTTTGTTCTCACTCTGCTCTAAAACGGCACACAACATATCCACTGACCTCAGACCTGTGGGCTTCGCATCACACCTGTTACACTAGGAAAGGTAGTTTGTTCTGCTCAGTATTATGAGCCAGGAAACCAATCACTGGAATATCCAGTTCTACTAAAAATCTCACAAAACCATCTCTTGTTCATCAGACAAGCCATGTCTTCTCATGCATCCGGACAAGGAACAGATTCTTTCATAAAGCATTATAAAGCATACTTAATTCTTATACCGGCCATTATAATGCATTATGAAGGTGTCTATATTGCCGTAAACATGAAACCTTCATTGGAGCTTATGACATATTATAATCAACACTATAATGCCTTATGACTGTCAATTGAAGATGCTGTAATGTTTTATTAATTCTTATACCGACCAATGTAATGCATGCTATGTAATGCAGTAGGACGTTATCATAATGCATTATTGATGGCAGCTTCATGTAGAGTATTACCAAAATTTCTTATTTTCACTATTTTGAATTTATTTTTAATTAGATTATGAAGGATTAGTAAATTCCCCTTATTCAAATAAGTAAGTGGAACTGGAACAAGAGCGTAACAAGCTCAATCTTAAAAAAACCACAACTCCAGTAGGAAACTCAGCAACAGAACCACATTTAAAATTCTTTACCAAACTAAATTGGGAGTCTTACAGCATGTAAACCATCTTTTGGAGACACTTTCAGAAACTGAACACGTTACGAAGACACCACTCTCCATAGGAAACAATCCTCATTAAGCACACACAAATCACATAATCACATAGCCAGAGGTGGGAAGTTCAAGTCCAGAACAAGATTTTGTTTCAACCAAGCAGGCGAGTACTGGAGATTTACTCCCTGGACCTGAATTACCCACCTCTGCTCAGGCCTGTTCTGTGCAGTTTCAAAAACTTAGGTGTACAGAAATCACCGCAAATCAGGGCTTATTTTACCTCTGCTTCCCCTTCTCATCCATGGTCTGATCCTGAATGAGGTCTCGGCGTGTCCGCTCTTTTGTGGTGGCGACAACAGAGGACTGTAGTGTTGGCTGGTAGGGAAAAAGGTGAAGAGGTCAGGAGGCTCAACGTCTGGCCATCTGCCAATCATGAGCTCCTACAGCTTAACCAGCCCACAGGTGATGCTGGGGGCCCCCTACCTTCTGCTCGTCATCGTCGTCGTCTGCGTCACTGTCATGGCGCACATCTCGCGCTCTCTGGTCACCAGCCAACCTTAGAGGAAAGGTGAGAGAGGGACACAAGGTTAACCAAATTTCTGGGGGCAATTACCAGGATTTACAGAGGACTTTTTGCAATTAACACACTTTTTGCAATCCCACTTGTGAACCACACACTCCAGGCCCTTTAAAGTAATGTCTATTGCCAAATGTCAGAAAACAACAGGATACGTTGAGGACCTCAAAGACTTCAGCTGCAGCTAATTAAACAGACAATGTGAAAAATTTAATTGTGATTGCATCAGTTCCCTTGAGAAAGTACATTTACATTTTTACATTTCATTTATCAATCCATTTTATCCAAAGCAATGTACTTTTTACTTGAGAAAGCAAGGTCAGAGTACCTGGAGCAACTGAGGTGAAATCACTCAGGCAAACCTTGGATTCAAGCCAGCAACCATCTGATTACAGACAGGATCTCTAACCCGCCAAATATTGTACTTCAGCAAAAAGTAAATTAAAGCAATGCCACATTCAATTTTCTTGTATTAAAACAAATTCACGCAAAGCTCTCACCTCAGCAAAGCCCCTTCGATGTCCCTCTGTTTCGTAGGGGGTCCTCCAGTGGGGTCTGAAAAGCCACGCCTCCGATACAAAAGATTCGCAATACATTACGACCAAGCATGAAAAGAGCAAAGCCATATTAAACTGCAGACAGTATTCAAGCCCTTAATGCTTACCTCAATGCATTAATTCCTCGTCCCCTGCCTCCCCCAGGTCCTGGAATGGGTAGCCGTCGTGCCTGGCCAGGTCTGTCAGTGACAACAGAATTACCAACCTCGTTTCTGCTTAGCTTATAAAAAAAATCATTTTTAACAACAAATAAATTAGTCAGCATTCACCACATTTAAATGGGCCGTGGGGCAGCAGATAATGTAAAGGACTGATTGAAAACAAACGTATTTTCGAAAAGTGAAATTTAATCTGAGCTGCAAATTTGACCGCGTCCGCCCTCCCCCGAAACTTGTTAAACTACACCGTATTCCTGATCCGTAATCTGGAGTTTGGACTACGGTAATAAGGCGCACGTATTCTATAAACGAAGTGTCGATGCTTCCGTAGAAAACACACGAAGCACTAGGATACGTATGATTGTGGACGATTATCATACATAAAGTGGAACGGCTGGAGCGCAAACGGATACCTATATACTATGGGTTTGTTGCGACCACACGGCAGGGAGCCGACAGCCGCCTAGCCAGCCCCATACCCCAACTCACTCACTTGAATCGGAAAGCGAATAAACTTTTCCATTCTTTTTCCGGTATCTAAGCGGGTTAAATCTTTGAAATGGTGCTTCTTGTCGCCAATTGCAGAACACATGCACAATTATACCAACGCGAATTCAGGAGGTACATAAATCTGCCCGCAAAACTTCATCCGATTAGCAGGTTAGCCAAACGCAGTCGAGCGGCCGCATCCGTAACAAAGCCCGCGCCGCTCCGGGCCTCTGCTCACCTGAGCTCGTTGGGGTCCCTCCCCGTCAGCTTTCTAATGTTTTCATCCACATTTTTCAAGCTCTCTTTCGCCTTTTCGAGCTGATCCTGTAAAGTCCTCACAGCCACCGCCATTTTCGATCCCTCCTCGCCGCCGCCGCAAAGCACCTCTGGGTAAAATATGTCATGCGCACATCCCCGCCTCTCACGAGGAAGGCTGCTCCTCTCCCAAGACCCGCTAGATAGAAGACAACGTGAATCGGCGGGAGTTTCGTGCTTTTCGTACGCACTCCACTGTGTCTTAAAACATGGAATACAGAACATGGAAATCATGCCAATGACAAATCTAGTAAACTCAATAGCTTATAAACTGAATGCCATTTCATCATGCTTTGTTTCAACTCTGGACACAATTAGCTGAGCAGTCGCTGCTGATGTAAGAGACCTGCCAGGCTCATATTCTTCAAATATATCGGCAATATAATTTGGGACTAAATTATTCGGCGATCTGTAGACCAAAAGTAGTACTTTGTGGTAGACAGAGATCCAGGATCTGAGAGCTGGAGGAATGTGCTCTCTCTTCTTGGTGTACAGGGAGCCAGTGTAAGGATCTGAGAACTGGAGTAATGTGCTCTCTCGTCTTGGTGTACAGGGAGCCAGTGTAAGGATCTGAGAACTGGAGTAATGTGCTCTCTCGTCTTGGTGTACAGGGAGCCAGTGTAAG